GCGCGAGGAAAGGACTTGATATACCTGTACTGTGTGTGTGTTGGCGCCGCGCATGGGAAAATCTGCACTTTTACTCGGCGCGAGAAAAGCTCGGAGAGCTTTAAAAAACCCAGCTAACTTTATCCAATCATTCTCGTCGTTTTTTTTTCATTTTAATTCGACTTCGACTGCGATTGCGTCGCATTTGCATAATTTTATGTATGCGTGGAATACGGCGCGTGTTCGGTAAAATTGAAAAACATTATAATGCGCCTTGTCGCGCGCTGCCTTGCGCACTTGTAAGACGTTTATCATACACGTGTTTGCCGCGTGTATATAAATAATATAATAAAGCGTATATCTACGCTCGTGTCTGGTGTATGCAAGTGCGTGCGCGAGGCTCGGCGGATCATTATTATAGCCAAGAGAAGGAGAGGGAACAGCAGCAGCCGAGCGCACGAGAGTCATTAGTCGTTGTCGTACAACGACGAACTTTGTGCCTCTCTTTCTCTCTCTTGATATCAAGGCGCGCATTAATTTCGTCCTTCCTTTTGTATTTATATTACAGAGTTCTGTGCTCGCGCGGCGCGATGAGGTCTTATTCTCGGCCTAGTGTACATCTCGCCCGCTGCGTTATTGTGTATGTATAATGAGTGATGATTGAAGCTCGACGCCGCCGCCGCCGCATATATATATAAGTTAACTTTGACCAATGAATTATAATACTCGCGGGCCGTACGACATAAAAATTCTCTCGTCTCTCTACATTTTCGTCCTTTTTTTCTCTCGCTCTCGTGCTATATGTTTACGCACTTGCGGCCGTTTGTGAGTGATGATGATGTATTTCGCAAAATTTCGTTGATTATCCCGCGAGATTTAAATCACCTCTCCCCATCTCTCTCTCTCTCGTATAAAAGGGGGAATTTCACACCTGACTCGCGCAAGCTCGGGCTCGGAGAGTCGCGCATAAATTTCAGCCTTTCTCTCTCGCTCGTTTCTTTCCTCGACGACAACGAAGCATATTCTCTCGCGCCGCGTTCTAAATCAACGACTATACACACGTGTCTTGCTCGTGACGACTCGCTCGCGTCTCCTTTTTCCGCGCAAAAATTGTTGCTTTTCTGTACGCGCGAGTCCAAAGCTTAAAAGATATAAATATAAAGTCGCGTCGTCGAGATAGAACGACCCGTTGATAATGCGCGTGCTTGGCGCGTCCGCCGCGAGATAGGTATACATAAGCAATATTGAAATAAGAATCTCTTCTCTCTCTCTCTCGTGGATGAAGCTGCCGAGTTGCTCGACGAGCCTGAACAGCAGCCAGTCAGCCACACCTTGGAACGGGCTCGCTCGCTCCAAGGAAAAGTCGATGATCCAGTTTTCTTCGCGCAGGGGCACCCCCGCGCGCAGCTTCATCTCGAGAGCGAGCTATCTGCCTCTATGTACAACTATCGCTATATAAACGTCCGGTATGCCCACGCGCGCACCGAGAGAGAGACGATATCGGTATGTGCGTTTCGTCGCGTCGAACACTGCACTGCAGTATATAAGTCGCGAGGAAAACAGGATTGATTATAATTTCCGATTTTTTTCTCTCTCTCTCTCTCTCTCCCGCTCGATTAAGCAAAAGTAACGAGCGTAGCAGCGCTGCAGTTTATTGGATGCGCGGCTGCAGCTCGCGAGATCGTTTTGACTACTACTACTGGTACTAACCTGTATCATACTTATGCATATACGGAGATGAGATTAGTCGGTGGCAGGTGGAATTGATTGCCCCTCGCTATACGCTATGTGTGTGTATATATTTAAATGTAATGTATAGACGAAAAAAAGTACCCCTGGTATATACTCGTTCTGCTCGTGATGCTTCTTTTTTTTTGTTATAGAGAAATAACTCAACGATGTTTTTGAGAACAAGTTGTTGGTCTCCGTGCGCCGCGTATATATGTACGCGCGCCAACTGATTAATCGCTCGGCGTCTGCCAATTTCGATCCTTTTTTTATTCCTATATACATACAAATTATTTCGAAAGCTTTTTAAACGACTCTTCGCGCTGCTACCGCTGCCGTTATATCGCGGCTGATAAAATCTTTTCGCTGTAGCAGCAGCAGTGACACACGCGATCGCCAAGCGAATAACGCGCACAAGAAAAATAAAACGAAGAGAGGAAAAGATATTCGATCTCTCGCGAATAATATCCACTTTGATTGCCAAACTGATTTTTCCACGGCGAGCCGATTCGGAGTGCATAAATAATAATTAATGCACGCGCACAAGCAACGAGCTTTGTGACTCGCCGAGGGCACTGTAACGCAGTGCGTCCCCCGCCGTCGGAATATGTTTCATCAAGGAGGCACTAATCCAAAGATATATAGCTAGCGTATACGTATGACCACTTGCCGCGCGTCAAGTGGGGTTGTTGTTGTCTGATGCTGCTGCTGCTGCTGCTGTTGCGGAAAAAATCTCGCACGCACCTCTCGGAGAAAATATAATTTACAACGCGTAACGAATCTCTCTCTTTTCTCGCAAAAACTGCGGGTGTCCAGGCTCCTCTTCGCACGCGCGCCACTAGCTGCAGTTTGCTCATGAATCTCTGCGCGCTCGGCGCAAGCCTCGTTAGTATGTGCACGGGGCGAGCCCCCCCTCACCTTATCAAGATCGATTTTTTTTTTGCCTGCGTGCGTGGTGAGATAAGGCGCGCGCGACAAATTATGCATTATATATATACTAGCATATATAAAAACGAACGCGATCAAGGAATTCGCGCGCGCCGGTGGCAGCACACGCGAGAACTATAGTTGTAAGAATCTCTCGTCGGATGGACGATTAAAAAAAAAAAGGTAAAATAAAAGGTCGAGTCGCGATTTTTTGGGCTGCTCTTCTCGATCGAGGAAGGAACGCTGAAGAAGCGGCGCAGAAGAAGCCCGCAGAAAAGTTGCTGCTGCTACTATGGAGAACAATGCTATCTTCGGCGTTGATCTCGATCGTTGGCTACCTATACTCTCGTGCGCATCTCTATGTCCGTGTGTGTGTTCATCCGAATGTTTGTTCTGTATACTTGTACCGTACGTGTGGGGTTAATTAACACGAGGATAGGGGGAGGGCGCTTGACGTACATAATATACCATTTGTGTGTGTGCGTGGCAGAGCCGAGCTTAAAGGCGATAGCGCCACCCAGTGAATTTCTTTTTTTTTTACTTCGTTCGTTTGTTCTCCATGCAGCAGCAGCAGCTTCTTTTCTGTGTAGACGTTTTCAAGGCACTATAATATGGGAAGTGAACGGGGTTCTATTTGGGCAAAAGCAGCCGCCGCCGCCGCCGTGTGCTTCTGGTTTTGCCGGTCTCTCTTCACGATCGCGTCCATAAGCTATCGATGAGCGCGGATCTCTTGGAACGTTGGACCAATTATCTAATTGCATTAGAGGCTATACGGTGGCTGCCTATACATTTTACGCTATATAATATTATATTTTAGTACACGATCGCTGGGGCGCCGAAGCCTCGATCTTTTTTGTACTTTTGGCGCAAAATCGTGTCATATCTCGGCGGATTCGAATTATTTATCACCGCTACACGCGAAGATCGAGTTCTTTTTAATCGATCGTTACTTTATCTCTATCCGTATAATATAAGCTCGAATCTAAATCTAAAAAACGCAAATTCACCGGGGCGTAATCGCGTTATACATAATTCGCATATTTCCGCGGTATTTCCTTTAATTAAATTACGCGATCCTATCGCACAGAAACACACGCTCGAAAAAACGTTTGAAAGTCGAGTATACGGGCATTAAATTCTGCTCGATTTCCACACACACACGCACGAGCTTTTCCAATTAAGCTGCGATCTTCTCGCCGCCGAGGCGCACTGATTATTTCAATCGGCGCGCTTAACGCATATATATACCACTGCTGCTACGGCTTTGATTCGTCCGCGTGTTGTTTAGTACTCGGATATCTTACATACAATAGACGCGAGAGAGAGAAGATACTCGCGCGCCGAGTATAATTTATTTGTCAAAGGCGCATTACACGTGGAAGCGTGTTAGGTTGTCTCTAGCCTCAATGACTTGATTAATCTGCTCCGCGGCCCGTAATAAGGCGTCATCAATTTCTAGGCGCGTGCCAAGCATCTTCTCTCTCTTATACATATTATACGCGCGCATAGCTGTTGTTCTGCGTTGCTACGCTCTATGCTGCACATTCGAGATAATAGCCTTACAAGTTCACCTTATGCACGCGCGTCCATACGTTATAAACACATACGCGTGCGTTGCATGTATTTTCAAATCTCGGCGAATAACGCAGCTGATTATCGATGCACGCGGACGCGCCTGTGTGTACGGCCATTACGTGTGTACGTATATACATCCGCGCAGCTGCACTCGGCGCTTTTTATCTCTGTAGCTTCTTTAAGAGATGCGTTGCGTATGTGTGTATGCGCGTGCATGCACGCACGCAGGCACGCAGCCGCCGTATTTTGCTCAATAATGACTGGTACTTTTTCACCGCGAGCGCCTATATCGACTGTTTATCCCCTTTGATCGCGATATATGTATATAACTGGTATATGAAAAGTTGCTCGAGTTTTCTTGGATGATTTAAAAGTGAAAATTCTTTACTTGCATCCGAGTCAACCTTAGTTAGTTCGAACGTAATTTTTGTCAAATTCGTGCTTTGACTTTGATGCGCGCGGGAAGAGGGTGAGAAGGTAATAAACAACTAATAACAACGCGATTGAGTTGGTTTTACCGCGAGACGTAAAATACAAGAGATTTTTGATTGAACAAAAATTCGGCTTGCCCACGTAACACAGCTCTCGTTACGCTACTGCACGCGAGTATTCGATGTTTTACGTTCGATTTGTCCAGTTTTCGTACTTTGTTTGAGTATCATTTGAACTTTTTCAATCGCGTTAAGTATTATTATTTTCGTTTTTAATAAATACTTATATTTATAATGTGTATATTTTTTCATTTGGATGGTCGTGTGCTTATAAATAAAAATATAGAAAATAATTTTTTAAAGAAAAATTTATATAAATATGTAATTTATACATAATTAGAGAGTACATATTTATTTAAATATGTAGTTTATACAAAATTAGATTACTCTATACCTAAAATAATACTGCAATTACGCTGATCGACGTAGCTCTACGTTGTAGCGGCCAAGCATATATTGTATAAATCTTTGTTCGTTAGCTCCTCGATGATCATTTCACAGCAGGGAACCGGAAAACGATAGTTTATCAGCTCCGAGAAACAATCCATAGCCCAATCTTGAAAAAATTTTCTCGACATTATTTCGTACAGATGGACAAGGCACGCTTGTCTTTGTCCTCGAGGACAGCGTTGCAATAAACCCCGTTGTGCTAAATTGTAATAGTTCCAAAATTGCTTTGCCGCCTCCTTGGGTCGCAACCGAATCAAATCGTAGAGCGACGGATTCTCACCCATCTTCAAATTTTTCGCCCATTCCGTAAACTCTTCATTGTCATACCAACGTTCGTCAAGATCAGCGAACAACTCGGACATTTCGAGTTTAGCGAAAAATCGCATGATCGTTAGGGCATCGCTTCGGTCCAGCTCGTATCCTTTCTTCTCGAGAAGTTCAACGATAATCAGAGCGGAAGCCGCTAGTTTTAATTTGAAATTTGGCGAAATTCCATTGTACCGCGACTCTAATCTTTCAGCAAAGTAACTCTCGTCGGGAAAAACGAAGATAGACAGATCAGCCCCTCGAATCAAAAGTTCATGGACCGCGTGCGGAAAAAGATTCGCCACGGCCCATTGCAGTGGTGTCCGGCCCAAGTTGTCCACGGTGTCGACCAGCACGAGTTGATTACGGTATTTGTTGACGTTGAAAAATACTTCTATTACGTCATCATAGTCGTGCTGTCTTTTACAAATAATGTGCAAAGGTGTCGATCCTACAACGTTGGTTGAATTCGGATCGGCGCCGTATCTCAGTAGCAAGTTGATTAGTTTTTTATGGCCAAGAGACACAGCCACGTGCAGCGGTGTTTCGCCCAAATTGTCCCTGGCGTCGATCTGCACCGGTCCACGTTCATTCTTGATGATTTCCTGGACGAATTTCATCAACAAGGTTTCATCGTCGTGGTCTCTCTTGCAAATGACGTGCAAAGTTGTCAACCCATGCCGATTGGCTAAATTCGGTCTTGCGCCTCTTATCAGCAGCGTTTCAATCGCTCTCGCATTGCCGCACTCCGCAGCTAAGTGTAACGGTGTGTTACCCAACCGGTCTTGGACATTGACCTGCAGCGCTGGATTGACTGCTTCGCTCGCGTTCAAAAATATCCTCGCCAAATCGCGGTCTGGTCTATTGCAAACGACGTGCAGAGGCGTCCGACCCGAATCGTTAGCCAGATTCGGGTTGGCGCCACTTGTCAGCAGAGATACGGCAAGATTTGCGTGGCCACGAGACAGAGCCAAGTGCAGCGGTGAATTACCTTCATTGTCTTGATTATTAATTATTACTGACTGATGTACTGGCGGATGGCGGTCGCTAATCTCGCGTAACAATGTAGACGCTAAGTCATCATAGTCTGAGCATCTATTGCAAACAACGTGCAGGGGAGTCGATCCCTCGGTGTTGGCCGAATACCAATTGGCGTCTCTTCTCATCAGTTCTTGGACAATCTCGAGTTGCTCGGCACGGTAATTTCTGTTGAGATAGAATGACTCGCAAATAATGTGCAAAGGTGTAGCTCTCATCTGGTTAACCGAAGCCGAACTGGCGCCTCTTCCTAGCAGCATCCAGGCCACATCCATGCGACTGTACTTCAGAGCCAAGTGCAACGGTGTATTACCAAACCCGTCCTGCGCGTCGATCTGAACCGCCTGTGTGAATTCGTCGGTGATCTCGAGGAATATCTCCGCCGTGGCATCGCCGCGGCCTTTCTTGCAAGTACAGTGCAAAGGTGTCGATCCTTCCTTGTCAGCCGTATTAGGGTCGGCGCCTCTTGCAAGCAGCTCTCGGACGATCTGTTTTTTACAGCCATCGGCCACAGCGATATGTAGTGGTGTCCGACCCAACTTGTCCAAGGCGTTGAGCTGCAACGGCTTATCGACTTCATCGCTGATCCGGAAGAATAGCCTCACCAAGTCGTCGTTGTCGCGTCTCAAGCAAATTAAATGAAGAGCTAAGCTCGGATCGGCGCCGTTTCTCAGTAGCGATTCAATCGCCTTCGCGTTGCTTTCGCGAACAGCCAAGTGCAATGGTGCGTCGCCGTACCTGTTCCGGGCGTCTACCTGCACCGTATGATTGACGCCTTTGATGATCTCGAAGAAAATTTCCATAAAATCATCATCTTTTACAATGCGCTCGCAAATAACGTGTAAAGGTGTTGATCCATCCTTGTTGGCTATATTCGGATTGCCACCATGTTTCAGCAGCAATCGGGCAATTTGTTCACGGCCCCAGCTCACGGCATAGATGAGAGGCGTATTACCTGTATATGGCACGAGGCAATTGGGATCCTGGCCTCGCTCGAGGAATTTTTCAACGACATCTTCGCAGCCAAACTTGCAGGCCACATGGAAATGCGTGAGGCCAGAATCGTCGGTGTAATTCACGTCAAAATTATCGTAAATCTTAAAGAGCAAACTGACGATTTCGTATCTGGTCGTGAATGCACGATGCACTGCTGTGGTGCGACGCGACGATGGATTGCCATCTTGTTCAACTTTGGGCCTGTCTTTGTAGCCGGTCTGAGCCACGAACCTTATAATTTCTATACCTTCATATCCATTCCACATGTACTGAACGGAATCTGTGAGAATCAAATCAATGTTTTTGGGCAAAAAAATGTCCAGAAGATTGGGCAATTGACAACCCTGCCAACGGGTGAACAATGAATAAAGTTTGTCCAGAAGATCTCTTCGCTCGATTTCGATTTCCCAATTGACATTTTGTTTTAAGCTCTTCAATTTTTGAAAGCCTGAGCGTTTATCAATAAAAACCATGTTATTGAAAGTAACACCGCACACAGTCAATTATAGTATGAGAAATTTTTTTTTATTTTATTCACGAAAATCACTCGCGACAATCGATCCGATCTTCTTGGCTGTGGTCGGCAAGCTATCAAAGATGGAAGAAGCGCCAGCTTTGTACAGTAACGAGCGGAAATCGAATTTTCATCGCAGATGGGTTGGTCCTCGTGCGTTTGAACACGAGAGCATGAACGTACGAAAATTATGTCAACATTACGCGACTAGGCATAAACAACGCCCTACTTACGTTTTCCAATCGTTTCTGAATCGTTCGGATTCAAGCTTACATATTTGTAGTTTTACGGATAAGCAGACGAGGCCGATAGTCAAGTATACATGAGACTTTTTGCGACTGAGACCTTAACAAGATTTTTTTTACAGTGGCAGGGATGTAGTCATTTTTGAGTCGAGGCATGAGGATTTATACGTGCAGTACCGTGTGTATAGTTTTAGTCGGGTATTATGAAATTCAAAAACTTTAATTCAACTTTTTATTTCAACTTTACCTCTAACTTTAACCCAAAAATTCGAGTACTCGACTCGATCGAATCAAATGTTTTTTGGAGTAATCGCGTACATCTCTTCTATACAACATATACACAGTACATGCGTTTACGACAGTGGTGGTGTCAACGATGTATATCGCAGTAACAGATACACCTTTCAATTCACACTGCAATATCATTATACGCGGTATATCTCGCTCTCCGTCGCGATATGCTACGGCGCGACGACGACGACGACCTTGAACGAGTACCGGTGGTGCAACATTATTTAAATTACGTCTGGCCACTGTGAAGACAGCACTCGACTATCACGTTATGCAACTTATAAACAATTACTTTGACTTTGCCGCTTTCAGGTTTACAGCTAAAGGGACTCGCCATCTAGTGGTATAGACTTGAAGTAGTATTGTGAAAGTGGTTGAAAACTGGCCGAAAATGCTGTTCATTTTCAGGTCATTTAAAATGCGCCTAATAATTGTAAGATACATAATTTTAACAACAAAAAATCGCTAAAAACAAGAAAATTCATAGAAATATATTTAAAAATGTTTTAAATGGTAATTTAATGGTCATTCGAAAATTATAAGTATTGAGCATTTTTACCAGGGTGGTGATTTATTCATTTATATTTACTAGTTTACTAGACGTTTAAGACGCGCTCCGCGCGTGTCAATTTTTTTTGTGTTTTGAGGTTAGCTTAAGATTCAGAAATAGTTCAGAAATAGTACGTTTCAAACGCGCTTCTCGCGCGTCAATTTTTTCATTCGAATTTTTAGCAGCACAGGCTCTCGTATAGAGTCGGCTCGCGTCGGGCGTCGTCGTCAGTGTCAGCCAATCAGAGGTCGTTTTACGCGGTTTCACTTTTCGGCCGTTCTCTTTTTTATAAGTAAAATTTATAAGTAAAAAATATAAAATATAATATAATGTATAATATATATAATATATAATAGTATGTTAAAAACTTTTCAATTGAATTAATAAATTCGCTCAGACTGTATTTTTTTATGAATTTATGTTTCACCTCGATTATCTGTTCTAACACAGCTGCTTATTACTGTAAAAATTGAGCTATTTTATTACGTAAGAAAATCTAAAGATTAATATTTCGAAATTCGTTTCGTATTGTAACGAGATTTACCGTAATCAAGATTTGATTATGGGCTTTTTGATTTAGTCAACAGATGGCGGATTGTAAATCCGCTAGTGAAAAACAACCTTTCTTTAGTCAAAAGTCTGGCTATATAGAATATATCTATCAAATCATCAGCAAAATTGATCTCAAAAACAACGTTTTCATACTTATAATGACTGCGCTAAGCAAGCAACGTTTTCATATTTATAATCTGTACCTATTTCAGTAGCAGTTCGATTTTCTTTATAAGTTCCCTCTCGCTCATAATATGCATACATAATGAGAGAGGAAGGAAACGAATTCTCAAGATAAGCGTGCGAAGTTGAGAGGTCGTGTTACTTTTCTCAGGGCGCACGATGAATGCAGCTCCTACACATACATATAAGCTACATAGGTACACACGCATAATATATTTAAAAATAGCAGAGGCCCGAGAATTTCGACCTAGGTCTTTCGCCAGTTCGACTTTTGACCTTTGCAGCCATGTACGCGCGGCAAAATTTCCATGTCAAAGCAATTGCGATCCCCTCGGAGTCGTACGTGTGTATGTGTACATAGGTGCATTATGTAAAATACACACTTGCTACAGAGAGAGTACAGAGTACAGAGAGAGAGAGAGAGAGAGAGAGAGAGAGAGAGAGGGAACACCCGCGTTATATATATACCCACCGCATTAACATAAGTATTAGTATCGTTGGATAATTGACTGATTAAATCTAATGTCTTAGCCTGTTGAAAATATGTTAAACAGAGTCGTGACCTGCCCGCGCGTATGTGCTTTATATATAATACACCTCTGTACGTGTGTGCCATGCATGAGAGAGAGTAGAGGCGCGCTCGCGCTCAATCGCACAAGTATAACAGCGGTAGCTAATTAAGTACTTCCTTGAAGCTATGATATATTTGCCTAGTAGCTCGGCGCTGCTGCTGACTCTCTGCACTGCACTCTCGAGTGCACGACGTGCATTGACAAATAGCTAAGAGCTGTGTATCAAAATGTTCACCTTTTTTTTGGTCTGTGCTATGTGTATATGAGCGATTCTATAAAAAATTGTCAAAGATTCTAGTATGATTTCTCATTTTTCCGTAATATTACATAATAATTGATAGAAAAATTACTCGTGGACACGAGATAAAAGTCTCGATTGCACGATTCGTAAATATTAGTAAATTAAATGTAAGCTGTAAAAAGTAAGAAATCGACGAAGAGCGCAGAGCTGCTGTGCTTGTTCTGTTGTTTACATCGTGCGTGGAATGCCGCATGCATGACCTCTCCGTGTGTTGTTTGGTACGGTGACTTGGTAGCGCTACGCTACACGGAGGGCTGCGCGCGAAACTGGTCGAGTATATTCGCATCGACACAGTTTTTCAAAGTAAAGTGAACATATAGGAGCTCTATATTATCCTGTGAAGTATTTTTGCATTTGGTTAGCTTGATGAGTGAAATCATCACGACAGGATTAATTGTGTTAACGCGAAAAGGATGGAATCCAGTAGTTTATTTAATTGTGTCTTCAGGTAATTTTCATATCATAAGTACCGAATCATGAAAATATTGGAACGAAATACTCGACCTTTTTGGGGTTATTTCAGAGTGAAGGAGGAGCCTAGCGATGTGTCGCTCAATGAAAATGATCGTGATATGATTGACCAGAAACTCGATCTGAAAAACTTTCAACCCTTGCCATTTTCGCCAGTAAATTCAGTAAGTTTTTATAATTATGCGTAACTCATATTTTTATTATAATGTAACTTATCTTTCATTTTTCAACAGGCTCAAGCCCTTTCAAAATGTGACGAAGTGGAAATAGTTGTTGAGTGCGAAGACGTCAAGCCCAATATTAACTTATTAACAGTTAAAAGAATTGACGATGATTTTCCGCATCATTCACGAATTTTTGGAGACCGCGAAGGTTATAAATGTCAAAACGTATTTAAAACAGAAACAACAGGTGAAGTGGTACAGGAAGTTTTTGGTGACGTTACCGAACAGTTGAATTTAAATTTCGATCGTGAACTTGTCGAACAAAGTAAAAAAAGAAGAATTAAACAAGGTATTAAAAAACACATGGGTGCAGCGCATAATGATCGGAAATCTTATTGTGATATTTGCGGAAAAACCTTTGCACAAAAAAGTTATCTCAAAATACACGTCGATTCGGTGCACAATGGTATTAAATACACATGTGATTTATGCCAAAAGACATTCGCAAGAAAAAGTTATCTCCAAATGCACGTCGATTCGATGCATAATGGTATGGGTCACCCGTGTGGTGTATGTGGAAAAACATTTGCACGAAAGGATATTGTCAAACTCCACATCGATTCGGTGCACAATGGTATTAAAAACACATGTGATTTATGCCAAAAGACATTCACAAGAAAAAGTTATCTCCAAATTCACATCGATTCGATGCATAATGGTATCAACTACAAATGTGATGAATGCCAAAACACATTCTCGTGCAAGCAATATCTCAAAATCCACATCGATGCGGTGCATAATGAAATCACTCATGCATGTGATCAACGCGAAAAAAAGCATGTAACACGAAAAAATCTTCATAGGGGCATTAAATCAAAGCATATCAAACGTTGCATGTGATCAATGCGGAAAATTATTTTCATAAAATAGTCGTTTTAAAACTCACATTAATGTATCGCACAATGGTATCAGTAATCAAATATAAATGTGACGTGCACGGAAAGATATCCTCAACTGAGAGATAATCTTAAAATGCGCATTAATTTGTCACACAATGATGTATTATTTGTGATAGAGTGAAAATCTTTAAAAATTTACATGTGTTCGATGCACAAAAGTATGTTACGAATGAAAATTCTGGCGGAAAAAAGTGACTCGTAGAAGATGCATCTTAAAACCCTAATTTATATAGTGCGCTCATTGACACACTACAACTTAATTCAAGAATAAAATTTAGTGTACACTTATGTGAGATTCAATCTGAAACAATCCGCCAATACCATACACTAAATTCCGTTTTACAGTGGTTGTTTCAGATCTAATGTCACAACGAGTGCACAAGTACAAAATACTATTAAAAATGTTTATTTTTAATATAATATCATAAATTTCTTTAATGTTATCTGATTCCGTAAAAACAATATTGAAATTATATATTAAAAGATTCAATAAATTTTTGAAGGAAAATATATGAAGTACACCTTAATTTTAAGTAATAAAATAAATATTTTTTTATAATTCTATGCGTTTTTAGCGACTTACTTACGTGTTGTATGGAAAATTGTAAATTCATTGAATCCTCGTGAATCTTTGTTTTGTTATTCGGTTTACTATAGCCGAAACGAGAGTTAAAAGCTCCGGCAAGAAGAGAGAAAATAGTACATTAATTTTAAGTCAGGTGACAAAAATCTCAATCGCAATCTTATAAACCCTCGAATTCAAAAAAATCCTTTATAGAATTGCTCATAAATTTTATTCCGAGTCAAAAGTAGCCACTTTTACCTTTCCGTCTATAAATAAATTTATATAAACGTTATCGCAAGCTCCCACATTTATAAATATAAATTTTGTCGAGGCTCTCATATGTATACTTACGAGAGAGAGAGAGAGGGGGTCCGATAAAGAGGAAAACAAGTGCAAAACCGCAGCGCAAGACAAAAGGAGAGGAAAGAATCTTGCGGGCGAGGCCTCGGCTCTTTCAAGCGTCGATGTAATGCCTCTCTCTCTAAGGTCGAGGTCGTTATAACGGCTCTAATCTTTCTTTCTCTCTTTCTGCTGCACCAGGGATAGAGAGAGAGAGAGAGAGAGAGAGAGAGAGAGAGAAAGAGAGCAGCAGCGGGTGTCTTATCTTTCTCTTTTATGTACTCGTTTATCTACTAGCCATAGCTTTTATATAAATGACCGCTCCGTGGTGTGCAGTATATGCAACGGCAGCCACGAGGCGATGATCGTCGGTGAGCAGCACTGCTACTAGTATATAGTAATAATATATAGGTATAGGGAAAGCAACAGCATCGCCTCGTCGTCGCGCATCATCGCGTGCGCGTTATGCGCTGCTGCTGCAGTGCTCAAAAAAGAAGCAACAACAACGACACACATACTCGTTTGGGTAATTTTCGCTCGTTCCAAGAAATTTCGCGTGTCGTCGTCGTCGTCGTCGTCGTTGGTTGCTGCCGCTGCAGGTGTGCGCAGAGTGTATAAATATCGAGGCAGCAGCAGCAGCATGTGTATATATATATGAATTTGTGCGTTATATGCCGCGCGCTTAACCGCAGACAGGATATACCCGCGGAGCTCAATGAGGACGTGCCTAATGTATCATTGGCCGAGGCAGGTATATAGAGGAGGCAGTCAGGCGAGCGCACGAGTCAAAAGAAGAAAATCACGCTGCTGCTGCTGCTCTCTGCGGTGTATATGTATATATCGAGAGGAGCAAGAAGTCCTGCGCGCACCTGAGTTTCTTTCAATATCTCTCGTTCAGCCTCCTGCGCGATTTCGATTTCTGCCTCTCTGCATCTCTTCTCTCTCGAGAGTAGAGAGCTGCACTGCGCAGCATAGCCGAAAAAATAACACACGGGTAAAAGTGCAATTCATCTCGTTCGCGAGCACACGTATATATGTACGCACGCACCGGAAAGTAATAATGGCATTGTGCCCTCTCCTCCCTCCCTGCTAAACTGCATCGCGGAGCAATCTCGTCTTTCCTCCTTTTTAGCCTCTGTGCGCTGAGCGCACCTTTTCTCTTTCTCTCTCTCTCTCAGCTTGACCAGCAGCAGCAGCAGCAAGTACAGTAGCCGATGAGTTAAATTGCGTTACATCTCTCCTCCTCGTCGTATGTGCAAAGGGGGTGTCTGTGTGCGCGCAGGTCCTTTGAATGTAATTTAGAGCGTGTGCGCCGCGTGCAGCACGTATTATATTCCTCCAGTAGTGTCCTCTCTGCGCCTCGCCAATGGGCCCTCTTACTTTTATACGTAGTATATTATATGGCGGTCGGCGGCGCGGGCGCAGCAGCGTAAAATCGGAAGCTACGCGGCATCGAGACAAAGGAGAGAGACCCCGGCCGGCCCTGCGCGGTGCAGAGACAGGGGCGCTCGTCCTCGCTTCTGTTATATATATAACGTTAATATTCCGACAAAGTAAAGCGAGAGAGGCGCGGTGCGTGCGGCGATTCGACGAAAGGGTCCTGCGAAGCTCGCGAGTCGCTGCGCGCTATGATCGTACTGTATGCAAAGCAGTCCTCTCCGCCGCTGCTCTTAAACTCCACCTTCCTTTCAAGTTCGTTGTGTGTGTGTGTGTGTGTGTCGCGCTTGTGTATATGTATTCGGTTTCACCTGTAGGCCTACTATATACTATGCCACTACTGTATAACGCGCGGCTGCGGCGCGCAGAGCAAAGAGAGAATCGACTTTGTGTCTGTGCCCGCACGCAGAAAGTCGAAAGTCGCTGCGCTAACCCACACCACTTTTCATTGTCTTTCTCTCTCTCTGTGGACGCACATACAATATGCTCGTGTGTTTATATATCGAGAGGAAAAGGGGGTGAACGCGGGCCGATATATTATTATTTTGCACGTGCCGAAAACCCAAAAACCGGGACCAGTATACTTACCGCACATCGGCTTTTTCCTGTCTCTCTCTTTCTCTCTCGGCTAAGTATAATCATCGAAATCGCGCCCAGATGGTTCGGGATTTGGATAATTGGCCCCGATAACCGCTTATAGTACTGTTTGTGTTGTTGTGTATAAGTAGCTGACGAGAGGATAGAGCAGACATCGCGGAGCCGCTAATGTACATCGTATGTATAATGCACGCGTAAGCATGCACTATATGATACTACTACTGTAATATACCCTCGCGTTCGCTCGAATTAATTGGCGTAAAGAATATAAGTAAGCTCGACTCGCGAGTAAAAAAAGCCCCCCCCCCCTGCCACTGTTTGTATCGCTCCGTTATTATATATATATTGTTGTTGTTGTTGTTGTTGCTTGTCTCTCCTTCCACGTTGAGGCATCGAGAAGCTGAAAACAACACAACACAACTAACTAAATAAATAAATAATACCGTGCCGAGCACTTCTGCTCAGCAAGCGTGAAAGTATTTGCGAATGTGTATAGCAGTGGTAGTAGTAGTTGGTCTTTTACGCAGCGCGCTCTTTGACACTCCATTAATTTTTCGTATTCATTAGCCTCTCTTCGTTAAATATGCGCGGCCGCCGCTGTTGCACTCGGCTCGGCTCGGTCGGCGAGAGGTCAGACGCGTGGTGCACGCGCCTAATAATAGTAAAAAAGAAGACGGAGCAGCGGCGGCGGTGATCGCAGCGAAGCGTGCACATACTTATAGCAGCAGCAGCAGCAGCTGAGCTTGTAGTTAGGTAGGTAGTGGTGGATAGTGTGCATGTGCCCGATGTGCGAGCAGAACGGGTTAATGGCCATTATATGCCGAGAGAGAGAGAGAGAGAGACTCGACCCGCGCCACGCACCAGCGTTATTAGAACATTTATTACGTATTATATATATGCGGCGCACGAGCTTTTATACTTATTTACTTGCGCCGCAGCGTCAACTGCGCAACGAACCGATGCGCACACGCTGTTCCGTGTGTGTATCATACGCGAATATCATTAGTGGGTCATTAGCGCGATTTTCCATTGCGATATTTCGAGACAGAAAAGACGCGACTTTTCTTTTGCTTTTCCGTCCTCTTATATAGTTTCAGAAAGGTTCACCACCCAAACGTACGTGTCACATTAAAATAGATAGAGAATTATAAGATGCCACCACCTCCGCGAGACGCATATGATATATCTGAACGCGGGGCGCTTTACGAGCGTCCGGCACTTTCCGTATAAGATATTATGTGCTCGGACAATATAGTGCACAAATGCTAAAGCAGCTCTCATACGTGTATAATGAAGTTGTTGCATATACAGGGCTATATATAATGCAGATGTAGTTTTGAAATTTATATTCGCGAGCCCGAGCGAGAGACGACTAGCTACTAATACCACTACGCCTGCTGCTAAAGAAATCGGTAAGTTCTATACGTAGCTAGCTCAGTCGCGAGTTCGTTATAATACGTACGTCTGCGCGATATTATAGATTTATGCGTTCTCTTTCGCATGCAGCAAATATACGCGCACCTCTAACACGCGATAAGAATTTTCCTTATTCTCTCTTCTCTTCGGGGGATATCCTGCGCGAGAGAGAGCTCGACAATAATAATGCTAATTGGGGCCTAAATATCTCACGCGTCGGACGCGTGCCGATCGCCTCATCATCATCATCATCATCGTCGTCGTCGTCGTCGTCGTCTTCGTTCATGCGAGCTGCTGCTGCTGCTCCTTCATTGCGTCGAAGAAGAAGAAGCTGCCGCTCTCTCTTATAATAATATAACCTGGTGAGGTTGCTCGCTGTATACGTCTGTGTCCGTGTGTATGTGTGCATGCGAGCTCGTCGGCTATATACTCGCGCGCGCGCGCGTATAATTTAACGAGGCACGCGCTGCTTCGCGATGCTGTATAAGCGATAATCATCTCTGCTGCTGCTGCTGCTGCTGCTGCGCTCGTGTGGAGAGAAGCTGAGCTGTCTCTCGTCAGAATTTCAGCTTCCTCCTCCCGTGCGCGGATATATTTATACCGATCCGTCGGTGATCGGCAGCAAAAGTCGCTGCTGTTGCGGCGGCGACCCACCCACGTTGACGATCGCGTCCGGATCAAAACTATATCTCTACTGGTATAAGTGCGTCGCGATGTGTATAGTATATATTTTTTTATGTATATACCCCCGTCGCTCGAGTGACCTCGCGAAAAAACTCCCAATACATAATATAACGATAAATTAATTAAGATCGGCTGTATATAGCTCGCGAGCACGTATAAGTAAGGTAGCTAGCTAGCTCTCAGGTAGCTCGAGCGTGTATTTATTAGATTGGCAGGATAGATGGTCATGCAGCAGCATCACCACTGTGCACTGCACACTGCGCTTCTATGCTATGCCATGCTCGCGCTTCCTGCT